TTGGGGTAAAATTTTTCCCTAAAGTCCCATATCAAATTTTGTCAGAAAGAAGTACTATGACTGTACATTACAAAGTATAAAAACTGATAAATTGGTCCATCGGGAAGGGGGTATAGCACTATACCCTGAAAACGATCAAACCGTGCTGCTCAAACATGGTCTGGATTCAAAAGAAAAATTATCCCTTCCATTCTGACATTATGAACATTCGGTTCAAGTTTATATAGACTAGAGCAATTGTTTGCTTTATAATCTTTTGGAGGTTTAATTTGGTGTTAAATTATCATCTTATTAGTAAGTTATTAAATAGATTTTTCAAAAAAAGAAGATATAGACAGGATAGTGTAAGCGCTCCTCATCTGTTTACATGATTAACATAATGAGCTTTTCAAGTATCTGGGCTGTGACAACGCCATGGATAATTTAACCCTTCGTATGTTAATTACACAAAGTATGATGTGCAGTACATATATCCATAGCCAGGCGCGTACGCAGGGGGGGGGGGGGGTGTTAACCCCCCTTCCTTTTAAAAAAAAATACAAATTAATAATTTTTTTTTAAAATGCTAATGGATGACCTAAATAAGGTGACCTTACCCCCCAACCGGAATGAAATGCTGATCGGTCAAATTTTCAAATTTCGGGACCAAAAAATATGTATATGTATATATATATATATATATATATATATATATATATATATATATATATATGTCCTCTTACACCCCCCCCCCCCCCGCTTATTCCGCGGCTGGCTGAGGCGTTGCGAAATTTTCGGTCCGATTTGCAATTGTTAAAACCAACACAGACACTACTATTTCCTTTTCATATTATATTCATTCTTTCAAAATGTTTGATTTCATATACCTTTTCAGTACTAGCAACATTCTTGCTACCTTATCTTAGCTTCAAATAAATTGCAATCAAACTGAAAGCTAAAATAACCTATACATTTGACAATGCCCAAAAGCCTTGTAGTTGTGGACTAGCCCTCGCCCGAATGCGCCTATTATTTTTCGGTAACTTTGTATTGTCCGGTATCTTTTACTGCCCAGTAGCTCAGATTGCGTTGTAATCCTACTGCAGGGGCGACGGGGCGTCTTCCAAGGTGAAGGGGGAGGGGGCGCACATATTAAACAGCAGCTTTGATTTATTGTTTTTATATCAAAGAACATTGTTACTGTTTAAGTTATTCAACACAATGTTCGAACATGAATACATGCCATTTCAGAATTATTTCATTTCATTTTGTTCTTTTAACTCTATCATTGTCATTATCATGTAATAAGAATAGTAAAACATTATACAATATTATAATATGCTAAATTACACTCAGTACATTAAAAATATAATAACATAATGTAATAAGAAAATAAAATAAGAACAGTAAAACATAATACAATATTATAAATATGTTAAATTACACTCAGTACATTAAAAATATAATAACATAATGTATTAAGAAAATAAAATAAGAAAAAGTAACAACAATGATAAAAGGTATGATAAGATTACTGAATATAGAAGCTTGTGTAGGTGCTATCTTATATACATATTTATGTATGGTGTGTATGTGATATAACAAATAATCTGCACGTACTTTTAAGAAACACTAACAAAGCCCATGAATGTTTTGCTTACGATATTATTTTACGATACTATCTTAAAAGATAGATAAATATAAAACGAAATAAATAAATTTTTAAAAAAATCAAAAATTGAGAGATATAACACGTGCCGTAAAGTATTTTGGCGACAATAGTCAAATCACTGACTAATCGCCAATAACTCAAAACACAACAACAACATGTTCATCATTATTATCATTTCACTTTGTTTATAATTTTTTTTATTTACTTATTTTTTCATATTTGTTTGTGTGTATGTGTGTGGGGGAGGGGGGGGGTGTTTTAGAATTGATACCGTTGAATACTATATGCAATTACCAAATATGCTGTTTAGATGTCATATGGTGTTATGTAAATCGCAAATGTCTAGAAGCTTTTCCAAAAGTAGAGTACCCAGAAATTAAAATGTTAGTGTAGTTTAAGGTTATGATACCATAAAACTCATATAATCACACACAATTTGACAAGCACTGAACACATATGTGGCTATATGGGTACACTGTTGGTCCAAGCCTACCTAATTGATTTATTGAGTTATTTCTAGTTTTCTATTTACATTTCAATCATGAGAGCACTCGAAATGCAACCATTCTTATGTCACATTTCTACTCTAATATTCTTTAACAATTCAGTGAAAGTGAGCTGTCTCACAATAGTTACTTGTTCATTTGTTAATCATCATTTGGCCGGTATTCAACAGTTTGAAATGACAAAATCACCATCCACAACAGATTATGAATTTAGACAGAACTTTTTAATCTCTTCATATCAATTATACAATCAATCAATATATACATTCTTAATTTGGTGAAATGTTTTTTTTACAAATGAAATAAATATACAATATTAACACAATATTTTCTTGAGCAATTAAATATCTAGGACATACTAAATGAGACAGATTCAACATCGCACACACAAAATACAAATTAATATAAAAATTGACCCATTCGTGAAAAATGTCATGAAGTACTCTCTTAATGAAACTAGAGGCAGAGAGCAAAATCAGTACTGCAATAATTTGACTTGAATTTGAATACAGAAGTCATCACAACCTACTTGAAACACAGATACATTTTATATCATGACCAAAGTAAGCATACTGAATAATTACAAAAGGAAAGACATGTAAAATGACATCCAAAAATTCCTCAAGGTGAAAATATTCCTAACACAATTTTAAAGAATACTTCACCAAAATGTTGGTACAACTACTTCTACACATGATGGAAATATGTCAATGGAAATGAGTTTAAGGACTATATTCTTATTGTCTTGAAATGGATTATTCTCAATTTAAAATTGGGACTCACAATAACAATGAATATTTCTGATACAAAAGTTAGTGTTACATATGATATTTTTAGTGCAAATAAAAAAAAGAGTAGATTCAAATGGATTGTCACCTGCTAAATGCACCTCAATACAAATTATCTACAGGTTCTGAGTCTAAGAAAACTATGTAAATACACGGACGGATGTTTCTTCATCAAGCTTCTTCATAGCATAGCAGAGGCATAAAGACAAGATATGAGCTAAAAACATGATTATGTTTTCCTTATACAGATGTACATATATATCTCAGCTTGTATTTGAATTATAACTATGAATGATAAGCTGAGAATAATTCTTTAAAAAATAATGTATGTGTATACACATCATTTTAAACGTATCCTATCAAATTATTTAATTTTCTACTTTGAGTGTTAAAAGATACAGTTAATGTAGAAGATTCATTACATTTTTCAAGACCAGAACTAAAAAACTATAAGGTGTCACCCAGATGGACAGACAGAAAAACCAACATTGAGCATTTGGCTAGAACCAACAACCAACATCAAGATGATGACCGCACGCTCCTTGCATTAACTGTGGTCTTAATAAATAATAATAAATCTGGATTTATATAGTATTTAATACGAAATATTGTCTTTAAGTGCTTTACAGAAATTATTACTACAGTCATTTAATTCATTCACGCACAGTGTGCACCATCTCCAGGGGAGTATTTATACAATATGGTCTCCATGTACCAAGTACATGTCCCAATTCAGTGTGAGCTGTCGCAGGCCAGTGAGGCTCGCAGCTTCACTCTACACATCTGGTCATATGATTTGTATTCCTCTGCTTCCTGGGTAGTATTTATTCCTTGTCTAAACACCACAATATGAAATCATGCACAGCTTTGCTGATTTCTGTACAAACATTTATTCATGCATTACTGATCTACCAGCTAAGAGATTAAAGGGCTTAATGCTTGGGTAAAGGATAAGAGTTAAAGAGGAAGTAGAGTCCATGGAAAAGTGAAAAATAATTTGTGAGCTTTTTCATTCTTTTTATATCAAAGAAAAAAAGTCACCTGAAAATGATGGCTCTTCACATCCCTTCATATTAAACATATGACAACTAACAGCTATAGGTTGTGGACCACACTTTTCATGCCATGTTTGTGTAGTCCCATATATACATTTGTATATTTATACAGTGTATGTGACTTTTAACAAGACTAGGTCAATTTTCATATCATTTTGATGATTCAAACACCTTACAGTACTTATCTGCTACGTGATCAACCCCTTCCAATTAATTCCACACAGTTTTTATTAACAATGCAATCACATGACAAGACCTCAACTTGATCTTTAATGCCTAGTTATCTCTCAGCCAATGATTTCTCTCCTTGATACAGAAACTAGGCCTGGGCTCTGTCACACCGAGATACATAAAAGTTAGCCATTGATTGCAATTTTGCAATTGACCCATAGTGCAGTCAGTTTCCAAGCATTGTGGCAGGGGCTCTAGACCCTGTTTTATGAAATGTGCTATTAAAGGGGAAGTCCACCCTGAAATTAAGTTAGTTTTAATAGGAGTAGAAAAATGAGAGAAACAAGCCAGTGAAAGTTTGAGCAAATTCCGATTAAAAATAAGGAAGTTAGGATTTTTGAAGTTGTGATCAATCAAACACAAATTGGCAACTCTATGACGTATCATGCGAGCTCAACTTCCATTTGCTCAGTACTAAAAAAATCTAAAATTTTCATTTTCCCTCAAGAAAAATTTCAACCATACATGCACCCTAAATATAATAATTGCAAATATGTTTCTATACTCCCCCTGCAAGGAACAAATATATATTCCGTCATCAATAACGAAGAAAACATGATTTTATAGAATATTATGCACAAAGCAAATGAAGGAGAGCTCGTATAATAAGTCACAGAGTTGCCAATTTATATTTGATTGATCACAACTTCAATAATTCATAACTTTCTTATTTTCATTCAGAATTTGCTCAAACTTTCACTCACCTGATTTTCTTATTATTCTGCCTCTATCGAAACAAACTTATTTTGGGGGTGGACTTTCCCTTTAAGTAACAACTGCTTGATTGATTGAAAGGGTACTTATCAAAAATCACATGGCAGCTTAACAGCTGAATTACATGGAACGTACATGCACCATGTAAGCTAATACAAGACAAAATACAGTATAATTTGATGTATACATTCATATTAAATACAAATGCTATTTGCTGAGACGCAATCCACTGCAGTGCATATCACAACTTACATAATTACTGTAACTAGTTATTCACAATAAGTTTCATATAACTGGGCCCAGGTTATCTATAACCAGTTGTAATATCCAGAGCAACACAAAATCATCTACAGATTTCACCATGGTACCATACTGAGCATGCTGAGAAATGTCTTCCTTTCTATCAAATAAAACAAATTCCTCCATAATATGTCTATTTCCGCTTCTTAACAGTGATCTTAGTACTTTACCAAGCAAAGGGGATTTCACATATAGAGTACTAACAGGAAAGTCTCCTCAGCATAGGTAACAAATAGCTAAAAGAGTAATTTAAATAGAAAATTTCAGGGGAGTAGGCTGTCATACTTAATACTACATATTCATGCAAAAGAAATTGCATGGCAAAGACTCTTCAGTGACATTGTCTACATGTTTATCTCCCTGGTGGCTCCTAGTTATCAGGGTCTAGAGTTCCATCTCTTTCCTAACTGCATGTGCTTCATACGACCACCATAGTTTCACTGACAGGCATGTTGATCACAGCAGTGATGATAGGAGTGCTTTATACGACCACCATAGTTTCACTGACAGGCATGTTGATCACAGCAGTGATGATAGGAGTGCTTCTGCCTTCTTTTACCACAAACACCTTGCACAGAAAAGTAAAATAAAAAGTATTATCAAATATCACCAAGATTTCAGAAGAAACAAACATAAGATCTATTGCTTCCAGAATTCAGCACAATTAGCCAATGAGCAAAATAAACTTAAATCCTAACATAATCCTAATCCTACAGCCAATGCTTAATTCTCAAAAGGAAAGCTTGGCTCTATAGCCAGCATTCCTTTGATGTCAAACTCTAGCTTGATTCATTTGAAGAAACTTTGAAGAAAGATTAATATACCATTTACCTGTAATTCATTCATTTCCCATATTAGTATTTATACATAATCTTTACTCAGTTCTCATCATTTCATTTGAAAGGTCGTAATATTAACGATAAACTGCTGGTGAAATTCATGAGGAAAACAAGAAATGACTGGATGTAATATAAATATTTCACACAATTTACAAATTCAAATTTACAACTCAAAATACATTAACCAGCAATTCCTATAATAATAAACTAATATTAATTGTGTTAATATATTGCTTTTTCCAGAGAATACAACAAGGCCCTGTCACTTCAACCAAGGATGAATGAAGAAGAATTGTAGAGGTTTTTCTTCAAATGTCTAGTGAAGTTACTATTTCTTAAAAATGCATAAAGTTTGTTTGATACATCTGGGACAATGGATGAAAATAATTTGGTATCATTTTTGGAATTTGGGAATGAGAAGGGAAGGAGCTGAGCGATGTTCTCCATTGCTGAAATAGTGAAGAAATTTATAGAGGAAGTGTGGTTGACATAATTATACAGGTAAAAGCATAATCAATATTCCATTTTGGTATTATTCAGGGAATAATTTTCAGCAAAAAAATTGCATAGCAAAACTGCTATACAAAATAATTTTTGCATAGCAGTTGGATAAATTTGTATCGCAATTTTTTTTCTCATATAGCAAAGCGCACATTTTCTGCCCACTACAATGAGATCAAGGTACATTTAAACAGGGTGGATGTACTCACATTTCTAGTCCTCAAAATGGATATGGCCGCTTGCTGCAGTGACAGTAAACAAACAACTCCCAGGTACGAGGCATCGCACACATGCAATGCATGTAATTAGATCCCACGTGCATTGTCATTGCATTGTGCAATGATCGCGCGAACCATGCCTCAAAACAACAATCGCGGTTAGAAGGTGATCGTAGCACACCATGTGCTTGCGCGACAATGGGTGTATGTGTATAAGCTTCACGGTTAGAGAGTTACTGCAGTATACTTCACGCACAGTAGTTACGCTGTGTTTACATGAATCACTATTGCTGCGATGCAAATGCAAACATACAAGTGCGAGTGAGTAGCCAATTTCGCGATCGCCGGCCCTGTATTCTGATTACAGGGCCGGCGATCGCGAAACGGGCTACTCACTCGCACTTGTAATTGTACAGAGGTGTGATGGGCCCGCCCTTAAACATGTATGTTTGCATTTGCATCGCAGCAATTGCGATTCATAAAAAAGATGTGTAGCAAATGGCTGAAAATGCGTCGCAAATTGCGATGCGATACCGGGAAAATTATTCCCTGTTATTGTCCTTACCTTTATAACGTCTGCTATTCCTTTATCACTCATGCATTCCACCAGCGTCTCAAATGTGTAGTTCAGGCCAGGGACAAGAAGAGGTACCTAAGACACAAAAATATTATCATATCTTGCTTTTATTTCAAAAATTACAATCCTTTTATGCAGACAGAAGGACACAAGATAATTATGAATATCTTTATTTCTCTGAAAGAAATACCCCCCCCCCCAAAAAAAAAAAAAGAAAAAAAAAAGAAAAAAAAAAATGATTTAAACATCAGTATATTCACCTACAGCATTGTACCATAAATACACTTAATATGATTCACAGCCAGTAAGTCCTGAGAAGAGGGAGAGTAAACTTACAGCAATCATGGTCTTCTGTAGTGAGTAGAGTTTCTCATCATACAGGAAGCTGATGAGGAGACCCATCGATGGTTTGCTGAGGGAGGTGTTCTGTAAACTCACTGTCAACTTGAATGTTGGTCCAATACCTTGAATCTATGGTGGTAGAGACAATCAACACAATGATAATAAAGATGGAAGCAACAGTTATGATATTCAAAAATCATAACAATAGGTTTTTAGAAGTTTCTTTGAGGTATTTAGAATAATACTTGTTGCTCAATACTGTAATGCATTGTTCATTACCACAAAACAGTTTTATAAAAAAAAGGAGGCGCGATAGCTCAGCCGGTAGAGCAGTGGTCTCGTAATCCGGTGACCCAGGTTTGAAACCAAGGCAATGAGCTAGAGCCCTTTGTTAAGGCATTAATCCTCATTACCAGGTCCCTCGGAGAGCCTAGAGCGAAAGCCATCGGTTTTCTGGTTGCTTACTAACAAGCATTTATTGCTTTCTTTCCTAGCTGTCAGGTAAAATAACCACCACTATCTATCTTGTTTTTAAAAAATTTAGCCAAAATACTTATCCCCATGACCTTACCAAAGCTATATTTTTAATGACCAAACTGAGTGTACAGGAAAATTTATTAGAGGTTGATATTCAGATTCTATATGTATACTGTAAGAAAAGTTTGTTGTCATCAAAATCTCTTACAATATTTTAAACAAAATATTTGTAACTTGACAAAATATGTAGAGACAATAGTAGTCACTATCTGTATAACACATTTTTCTTCAGCTATCAGTAATGCCAGTCTGATTATCTAATGACCCATCACTGAACAAAATCTTTGTCTACAAGTCTTTGAGTTTTACAAACCTATTGGCATGCATTCTACTAATTCAGTTAAACCTGACCCTCAGTCTAACAGCAAAGACCTCAGACCTCTTCAACCAAATTTTAAATAAATGACTGAACCAAGCGTCAGGTTAGAATGCCAGCCATTGATGCTTAGATAACTATCAATCGTCATCTGAACATCTATATCCCTGAAAGTTGTTCCCTAATAGACAAAAGAGTAAACTACTTTTTTTTTTTTTGGGGGGGGGGGGGGGGAGGGTTAGGGGTAGTTATCAAGTAGCTAGTTTCCTGGGGGGGGGGAATAGATTTCAATGGGATATTTTGGAGAGTGTATTTGTCCTTTGGGTGTAACTGTTAGGGGTATGGGAGTGTAGAGAGGAATAATCTAGGGGATAATTGTCCTAATAAGACCCAAACATGTTGAACCTCACCTGTGCTGCGAGCTTGATTGGTTCATTGGGGTTTGTGGAGACTGGTGTGAGGCTTGAATCTAGGGCCTTCACAAAGGCTCTTGCTGTGGTAAGTCGTAATCGATACAAGTCATGCTGGAACATCCGATGCATAGCTACAAAACACACAGAGAAAAAGAAATAAATGTGATTAATATTCTGATAAATAATTATCCCTTATTATCGTTCTACCTTTTTTAGTCATCCTGTTTCTGATGCCTCTAATAGCATGATACGTGTACTTAGTTAAAAACTGATATACTTCCACACTATTCTTCAGGTCAGGTTAGGTCAGCTGGGCTGACCATCAGCAGTCAGTTCGGTTGATCAACTACTGGAACCCTGTAAACCATCAGCAGTCAATTCGGTTGATCTACTACTGGAACCCTGTAAACCATCAGCGGTCAGTTCGGTTGATCTGCTACTGGAACCCTGTAAACCATCAGCGGTCAGTTCGGTTGATCTGCTACTGGTACCCTGTAAACCATCAGCTGTCAGTTCGGTTGATCTGCTACTGGTACCCTGTAAACCATCAGCGGTCAGTTCGGTTGATCTGCTACTGGTACCCTGTAAACCATCAGCGGTCAGTTCGGTTGATCTGCTACTGGAACCCTGTAAACCATCAGCGGTCAGTTCGGTTGATCTACTACTGGAACCCTGTAAACCATCAGCGGTCAGTTCGGTTGATCTGCTACTGGAACCCTGTAAACCATCAGCAGTCAGTTCGGTTGATCTGCTACTGGTACCAATTATACCAGGTTGTATTTTCATGGGATAGGGTCTATAAGAATATACTAAAAGAAATATCAACACAAAAAAGTTACGGATACAGAGATGGGCTAACAGCACAACCTTGAATTACTTACAGACACCATGTTCCCTCTCTCTCATAGTCTGGTCTACAAAGACCTTGGTCTTCTTGGGAACATTGAGCTTCTGTTGCTGTGAAGCTGGAGGGCCTCTCACCGAGTCTTTGTCTTCAAAGGTCGCATTTCTCTTGAGGATCTTGACCATGAGACCTCCTCGCTTGGTGCTCATCACAAGGGTGCTGTCCTCACGACCAAACCGTCCAAACTTGAGACCAGTTATGATGTCCTACACAGAGATACACACATGAAATACACAAGAGCAAAGCAAGATGCATAACCTTTCTCATCATGAAAACAATGGAAGATAATAAATCTGAATATTAATTTTGAACCTAAAATACAATTTCTCAACGATTGGATTGAACTCAAAATCTTGTAAGTAAACACAGGTTAAGTGAGGCTACTATACCTTAAAAATAAACTCTTTAAAATTTTGATAAAATTTAAACTCTGTCATAAGTGGTATTCTGATAGACATTAATTCAAATAAAACAAGAATGATAACAGGTTTCAAGAAAAAGCTCACTGCAACTTTTGCGAAACTCAATTCCAAAGAATGAAAGATAAGAGATGACTGTGACCCTTTCTCCTAAGTAAACTCACCTCTGTTTTGATAGAGTTAATGAGGAATTTATCCCTGTAGACGTGTACTTCACCATTCCTGAGAGCCACCATGACTGCTTTGAAACCCTTTAGTCTATGGTGCATAACATCCATGGTAGTAATAGCAGCAGGTAGATACACTGTCCACAGCTTCTTACCCTGTAACAACACAATCATATCATAGAAATAATAGGTCCATTGATAAAGCACAGCTGATATATGAACATACTCTAATGGGCTCAATACAAAGTATCATATTATTATTATCCCGCTGTAACTAAGCCGCCATAATCAGGCGCTTAAGCATTCAAGAAATTTCTTCCTATCAGGTACCCAATTAGTTCACCTAGGTGGAGAGTGGCAAATGTAGACTAATGTCTTGCCAAAGGACATGCGTGCTGCGACGGGACTCTAACAGTGAACCATGTGATTCACAGTCCAATGATTTATTTACCCACTCAATACCAATTCAAATTCCTATGGATGCCCCCTCTTTTGAGAGATTTGCAATGGCTACCAGAACGCCAAAGAATATCATTCAAGATTATGTTGATTTTCTATAAAAGCACTAACCGGTCAGGCCCCTAGATATATATTACAGAAGGGTTAGGACTCAAGTTTCTTCACAAACATATTCAGAAACTGTGCAGCTCTCAAGATAGTCTATCAAGAGAGAGAGAGAGAGAGTATAGATGTTTACCTTGGTGGAGTAGCACTGTAACGTCTGATCCATACACCCTACGATGATGTTCTTCCCTACTCGCTGGAGTCCAACAGGTTGTGAGTTCAGCTCAAAGCATAACTTGGCCATCTTCATTCCTCTGCAAAAGAACAAGACCATCAAATTAAAAGTCAATTAGATTCAAATAACTATCTTGCCTTCATCGAGATGGTACATGTATTTACAAGCTTTACATCTTACCAATGTGGTTCTACATGTACCTCTGGGTGATAAATGATAATTTTCAACAATTATGCAGTTTGCGTTCTGCACGCAATATTTTGTGCCACCTCATTTTGCTAAGCTAACTAAGCTTGATAAAACAAGTATTGCACTTTGTATCTAAGAAAACAAGAAATATATTAAACATGGGATATTGTTTATCACCATTATCATTATCATTATTCAGGACAGTCCACTTTGTATGTTCTTCAATACATTTTGTAGTTATTGAAGTTATTTTTCTATCATGCGAAGGCAATTTTAGGTATGAAGTTAAAGCAAAATCAAATCATCTGTCTGATCAGTAAAAGCATTATATACAGAACGGTCTAGGCTATGTACTGCATGAATGCTTAGAACAGTACAAGGAGAACAATACCGCCATAACAAATGGAGCAAATATGTACAGTATCGTACTAATAAACTGCCTGGACTGCTTCTCCTCAATTACTTTTTTAATGTAAATACTTTTTCCCACTGTCATTATACTTCAACTGTTGGAAACAACTTTACCATAACTAAACTAAAAGTTTCATATTGCTATGATGCTATGATAGATCTAACAGCATTTTCAAATGAGGCGTTATTAACATATTAAGAGATATGTTCCTTTTACCTCTTAAGTGTGTAAATATTTCCATTCCTGCATGACATGACGATTCTAAACTCCACATCATACAGCCCTGACACACTGAGAAATACAGGCACACTAGGCACTGCCATCTGAAACAAACAAAACAATTAATTTAACATTCTGAAACTATTTCGACTCAAATAAATGTCAAAAAATGAAATCTGCATACATTTAAACAGTTGCAAATGGGAGAAGAAAGGGAAGGGTAGAGAGAGAAAATGTAAAATTACGGAATAGAGCTATTGTTTAGGAACATAAAATATTAAATTATAGAGATATAGCATATACCTAAACTACACTTATTTCTGGTAAACTTTTTGTTTACATTTTCATTTTCTCAGAAAAATCAACTAGATTGCTCTTTTTCATACAATAAAATGAATGCTATGTTTAAATGATTTTCCATGGATCACGATCAAGAACATCTTAACTTGATATTGATATCAATCACCACTCTTTACATTTAAGAAACAGGAGATTGTCAGTTTGTGATGGAAAGGAGGACTTGGGATAGGTTCAGATCAATTGCATATTCTCGAGGCATCAATTATTCATATGATTTCAGCACAACTATAGATTGATGATAAAACTTTTGGAACAGTGTCTTTTGAATCTTAAATGTATAGTCCTCTAGCAAGTCAATATAGAATCAATAGATTTGTTCAATATACTGCAGATAAAAGAAAAACTAGACAAATCTGAATACAATCCGGACTTCAAGAAAATAATTTACCTTTGTAAGAATGGTGAAAGCCTCCGGATCTAAGACGTAGATCTCTCTACTCTCTGTGCCAACGACTAGACAGCTGATTGCATCATCCTCTGCTGTACTCTTATGTAATGTGTCCAGACATGTTATCACAGTCTGAATGATAAGACAAAGTGGAGAAATGGGCATCAGACCTTCAGTTGTATCACTACATGTAATCACATTAATAACTCTATAGGGCACGAGTCCAAGTCCAAGTACTACAACACTGAAGAATAGTATGAATAGAGATGAAGCTACCTTTGGTACACAAATGTATCATTATTATTATTCTCGAGGGCCTTGTCAAAAGAAATCAGAGAGTCGAAGAGACTAGCAATTTTTTTCTTCATGGATTTCATGAGACCGACATTGTCAGTCTATGGGCGGGGAGTCTCATAGACTGCCAATCTCGTGAGCTGTTAGTCAACTGGGATGTCCCCATTACAAATGGACAAAAGTCACAGGCTGAGAGAAGAAGCATAGAACATCAAAATAGCTGATCAGAGACAACAGAAAATTCTGGGATAATAATAATAATAATAATATCAGATATTTATATAGCGCACATATCCACCATGCATGGTGCTACCGGTACCCATTTAACACCTGGTTGGAGAGTGGCAAATGTAAATTAATGCCTTACCAAAGGACATTAGTGCTGCGGCGGGACTCAGACTGCGGACCCTGTGATCCACAGTCCGACGATTTATCCACTGGACCACAACACCTCTACGATGAGACACTTGCAGAAGATCTGATAGTCAAAGCTTTATGTGTTTCTGAGAGACCTGATCAATTATATCAGACTATGTTGGAGATTCATCATCCCATTCTCCTACAATGTGGAAACAGGGATGACAAAAGGAAATGATGAACCATCAATCTAATCACATGTGAAACAACCTACCTGTCTTCTGAGCTGGCCTACTTTATGCAGATTGGCAAATGATTCCATCTGTTCCCTGTCTTGTAGCATTAGAAACCTTCAGCAATGAAAAATACATTAGAAGGGATGATAGGAGGACAAACAAAAGCATTTGAAATTAAATATATATACACATTAAGGTACTATGTCCCATTTGCAGGTCAGAAAAGTGAAAAGGTTCAATTCCAACGGTACTTGAAAGACATATTAAGAACCTCCCTTAAAACGAAAGGGTTTGAAAATGGCTTTTTGTGGGAAAACAATGAATAACGATGTCAGTCAGTCACTCAATAGTAAGCGGTTTTCCTTGCATAATTTGAATATTAGGACACTCCTAATGTTTAAATATCACAGATAGGCAAACTTGTCATATTCATAATTCCTGCAAAGTTCTACAGAATTTGGTATTGGTTGCAAAAGGGACATATAGTACTAAATCAGGTGTTGCTAAATCTCTTTACAGAAGAAATATTCAAAGCTCACATTTTGAACAAGGCATTACAACATGGAACTGCTCACAAACAAAACAGAATATGTTTTTGGTGATTGGTACAGTTTAAATCACTCAATATAATTGTAAAGGAGGAATTAAATACAAGAGCCTAGGTCAGTCTCTGGCTCCTAAGCATTGACAAGGTGCCAGCATGTAGAATCATGTACTCCTTGCACTCATGCAGTTTAAGAACCATAACAATGGAGAATATCATGTTTTGTTTTTGATATAAGGGGTTTCATGTTGCTATATTGTAGTCATACTATAAGTTTCAGGTATTTCTTCTACAAAGAGATATGGTAGTTTAAATACACTCGCAGTGAACTGTAAAAGGCCTTGTTGAGAAGACTACTGAAAGCACGAGAACCATAGTTACTATGCTTTATTTTCTTCATATTTCTTAACCGTTCACCTATAGAATGCCAGGAAAATTGATTTGAGATCGATTTTATATAATACTACCTTCACACAACACAATTTGTTTTCTTCAGGTGATTAGTACACTCTAAAGAGGTAGCATAAAAGGGTTGAATGTTACATGGAAAATATCCAAAGTGAACAAACTTTACAGTAAATCTTTAAGTCTTTATTTCAGGAAGATATTAATTCTTAATTAAGACATATACTTCATGACACAGGATGTCATCTCCACTGTGCCTCCACATGCCAGGTCATGACACAATTGTGACAAACATGTTATGCAGCGTGTAAATTCTTAGTTAGGATCATCTGTCCAATATGAGCTACAGGGGTAATATAACATAACAAAACTACCGGTAGTTTCTTTCAGCTCATTTCATAAAATCACAGCAGGGAATAATTTTCCCGGTATCGCATCGCAATTTGCGACGCATTTTCAGCCATTTGCTACACATCTTTTTTTATGAATCGCAATTGCTGCGATGCAAATGCAAACATACATGTTTAAGGGCGGGCTCATCACACCTCTGTACAAGTACAAGTGCGAGTGAGAAGCCCGTTTCGCGATCTGAATAATCTGAATTACTAGGCTAGCTCATCACACCTCAGTACAAGTGCGAGTGAGAAGCCCGTTTCGCGATCTGAATAATCTGAATTACTAGGCTAGCTCATCACACCTCAGTACAAGTGCGAGTGAGTAGCCCGTTTCGCGATCGCCGGCCCTGTAATCAGAATACAGGGCCGGCGATCGCGAAATTGGCTACTCACTCGCACTTGTATGTTTGCATTTACAGCGTAACTACTGTGCGTGAAGTATACTGCAGTCACTTTCTAACCGTGAAGCTTATACACATACACCCATTGTCGCGCAAGCACATGGCATGCTACAATCACCTTCTAACCGCGATTGCTGTTTTGAGGCATGGTTCGCACGATCATTGCACAATGCAATGACAATGCACGTGGGATCTAATTACATGCATCGCATGTGCGCGATGATCGTACCTGGGAGTTGTTTGTTTACTGTCACTGCAGCAAGTGGCCATATCCATTTGAGGACTAGAAATGTGAGTACGCCCACCATGTTTACATGTACATTCATCTTATTGTAGTGGGCTGAAAATGTGCGCTTTGCTATATGAGAAAAAAATTGCGATACAAATTTATCCAACTGCTATGCAAAAATTATTTTGTATAGCAGTTTTGCTATGCAATTTTTTTGCTGAAAATTATTCCCTGCACAGTATTGGATAAAATGTTAGATTGCATTTCTCAAAATTATCATCAAATTGATGACCATGTTTAATACAGACTTATGTTTTGCAGATAGACTTACTTGAGAGACCGAACTGTTAGGGCTCCCTCGTTTCCTTCTCTTCTTATACTATCGAGCATTTCTCTCAGTACAGTGACATCAATTTTATCCTAGAGAGAGAATGGAATCAGGAACATTATAATAACTCATTTGCAACATAGAAACTGAAATAATCAATCAGAAATCTTGACTGGGGTTTAAGAAGCAATGTATCACTGTTTTCATGTTAGCTCATAGAGAGCAAAGATTTCTTTCTGACACTAATTTACTCTCATCTCCTGTATATTAAAGGAAAACAAGTATTCAATAGAGGACTGAAAGGTCCTCATCACTAATAACTTAAAATTTCAATTATAAATTCAATGACAGATATTGTTAAACATATGAATGAAGTATAGTTATAAATGTGCATCATAATATTTAACTAACCTAAGAAGACAAAGTATACATTAGACCAGCACCCTACTTGGACCATGTGGATTCTATATTAAAGCTTACCGGTATAAGAGAATTCAGTGGTAAGTGGGTTCAATTGGGATATGTGCTGTAAAATAAAGTTCATTATCATTTGTATCGAGGGGGTGGAGTCAATCAGAAAACAAGGGAAATGCTCTCGGCAGTCTCGTCTGCATTACGCAATCTGATATGATGAAAAATTAAGGTTGAGAAATTATTTATAGGTAGGGTGGCCCATTAGCAGGCCCCCAAAATGAAATCCTCTGAATATAATCAGCACTTTGAAGTGAATATTGACTAAGAATCATCAGAAGAATTAGTTGCTATAATTTGTACCAAGATTGATAACTTTAATGAAATATGAACAAATAACAAAAATTGATTTATTAATTTTTATATTAAGTTGTGAAAACATAATTCAAGTCTACTGACCTAAAATGACCTTTGACCTCGACTTTGTGACCTGGAATTTGAGTCATATGATTTTGTTTTGATACTTGATAACCCTTGGGTACAACTTTCATGGAATTTGGACAAAAACATTTGAAATCATACTAACAATTCAAATTCTTGATGTTGATGCCACAACAAAGTCTAAGTTTGCAGACCCGAAATGACATCTGCCCTTGACTTTGTCACCTATACGACTAATCACATGGTTGGGGATACTTTATAACCCTTTAGTCCAATTTTCATTGAATAAGAACTTTTACTTTCAAAATTATATTAACAATTCAAAAATTATGTTGACGTCGCCGCCGTCACCAGAAAAGCGGAGTCTACTGGTATGTAACGCTTTTGCTATGCAGGGAGACAAAAATGGCTTGTGCAGATACCCAGATGACCAATGGGCAGTATATATGTTCAATACCTCATGTTTTGGGGGAGTGCGAAGGCTTTAAAAGGTGAAAAGGATTTGAAATACTCACAGGGTAAGAGAATACATGTATGCACATGGCACTTCACAATACTTGGGTAAGAACAAAATATGTTTTTTTTTTCTCTGCATTTTTAGTGAGCAAGTGAATATGAATTACTTGACGCGATTACTCAAGAAATGTGCTCTTCAGTTCGTAGGATATATACCTTTGTTTCCGAATCACAGTCATACAATATTATATAAATATCCTGCTGCTAAATGAAAAAGATAACCGATTTGACTTACTTCTCTAGCCTGATTCCATAAGTCTTGCTCAACAGGGTTAACATCAAGTGGAGGGAGAGTAAACTTGAAGTAAGGCCTCAGATTCTTGTAGACATACAGGTACGGCCCTGATGCTACACCAATAGCTGTAACACAGACACAGTCACACAAAGACGTTAATTACTTCAAAATACAGGGTAAAGCATGCATATTCCTGAAAAACCACTTTATAAATATGGACATGAACCTAGTCATAAATTAATTGATTTTCTTGATGAAATTACAGATCGTTGTGCTTTCATCTGTTACATAATGGTTATGTTTTCCTGTTTATGGTTTTTATGCCTAAGTGTATGTCTGACTACTGTAAGAAGAAAACAAAATACTGTCCTCTATAATTCAGGAAACTTTTAAAGGTAATACAAAGTTTTGGGAAATTTTGAAAATTGGGTGGATAGTGATTCTTTACAATTTTGGTATATTTGGATGCCCCTGTGGATGTTTTATAAGCACTAGAAAATTTAGCCCCTAAACTACTACTGCTTTCGAGAAAAATTGAACATAAAAATTTACCGGTGCTCCCGGTAAATATTGATAAATTTCAAATAGCGCCACGGCCATACAATGGTAGCTGCGACCATGATAATCTCAAAATATGTAGTTGTGATATATAATTTCCGAACGGGAACAACTAATCGGTAGATTTTAGTCAAGAAACATTGTTTTATAGCTTAATTTACAACTTGACCTTGAGAGGGAGCTATACAACATGAAGAGTTTATTATTTACAATTTCATAACTTTAAACTCGACTTCAACAGCGACAACGATCACTGAATATTGTAAGACCGCATATTCGTCGAATATGTTCATTTGAACCAAATTCATGACCCGGTACCAAAACTTTGTATTACTTTTAAGATGACTTTTGGGGTAAAATAATCAACTTTTCTCTAGTTCCGTATGTCACGCTGCATATCAATGAAAATAACAACTATATTACTAATGTAGACTATCTATCAAATTTATTTGTGTTTGATTAAAAGGTCATAACTAGCTTTATCACCACAAAAGTGTTTGATTTGTGAATTTCATTTTAAAATTAGACTTAATGTAGGTTCTGATCTGTCCTATACGTCACATGTCAAATGGCCTGGACTTGCCCTTGAGCACTGAATCAAGAGATTAGATCACACTGACTACCTGGTACTCTGGGTTCATTGTTATCCATGTAGAATGTACAGACACCTGTAGGTAGATCAATGATGGCATTCTCACTGATGAGGGTAGTTCCTTTATACACCTTAAGCTTCATGTCAAAGGTCCCTGTACCCAGGTCTGCTATCACCAGCTTCGCTTCCCCATCACCAGATATGTCAGAAAAGGCTGAAAATGTAAAGCATTTTATAAATAATAATAATCATCATATTACCGTAAATAGCTTCATTTACAGTATGGACACTTTAATTGCTGAATAGGTCATGCGATCAATATGACATGGTGCTGGACAAGTATTCTATTTGTTTTAACATCCAAAATTACTTTAAAAGATCAACAATTTACAAAATGTATGAAAATCAGGATGGTCTTTTCTTTTTAGAGGACCTATAATAATATGCTATCCACATTCCACATTTTGAGTAGTGCCCCAAGGGAGAAGGTGCTTAGGAGAAAAACTAAATTAATGAATTTTTTGTGATATGGCAAATAGCATAGGAGGGTTGTCTGTTCCTATGTCACATTCACTGACCATATCACCAATTTGAGATTCGCATAGATTTAGTGATCTCATATTTCAAACATTCATAACACTCATATTACTAGTCCGACATTCTGTTTCTCTTATTTTTTTGCTTTCATGACTTTATTATGTATGTTGAATTGCCTTTGAGTATGCCAACCTAAAAATGATTTGAAAACTTTCCAAAGCTGCTTGTAAAGAACTGTACAAATCGAAAAGAGGTTTTTCAAGCTACAAACATACTTTCATCAAGTCAGAAGATAGAATGCTGTTTGGAAAGCACATGAGAATCAGAACTTGTGGAAGAAAATCATGATAACAAACACCTTCTCTACAGTGTGACAGAGTGTACTTTGAGGCAACAAATAAACAAGTTTATTACTTCATCAGAACCTGAATGCTATACGTACATTTATTTCCTTCTTTACCACAGTGAAATACCAAAACAAAATATCTCTTGAAATAGCCGTGTAAAAACATATTGGATCTCACGACCTCAAAGGTCATGTGAATGTATCTTTTATTATTATTATTATTATTTATTCGGCATTTCAAAATACAAGAACAATACAGAGTAATATGCAAATTACAGCAATTACAGGAACATATATATATACATGATAAAGAAAGGACCTGAATCAGAGATGATGGGGCTGCCTGGGTTTGGAAAAGGTGAACTAAATTACCATGACCCACAGGTCTTCCTTCCCACACCCCTTCAACTCCATCCAGGTCAGGATAAGAAAATCCAAAGAAAACATATTATATAAATTAACAGTGTATAACTGGAAACTGGCAACACACTTGGTGTAATAAATGTAACATGAATGTCTCAAGCAATATAACATTCAAAGTGATCATTTAAACATGTATAGACCAGAATCGAATGTCTTCATGAATTTGTTAACCCATTAACTAGTGAATTCTGTCATTCCCATAGGTTTAATACATGGACAACCCAGCTAGTGTAGCTAGGCCATGGGTTAATTCAAGGCAAGTTCTAAGCAAACTGCACTGCACTTACCCATACATGATGAGAATGTGTAGAGGCTTGCCACAGGGTCATTATGAGCATTAAGCCACTTAGTGTTTCCTTCATGGCTGCAACAAATTAGCAAAGCAAATGTAAGCAAACAAAAAATGTTTTTAAAACAAGCATTATGTACCATACAGACAATATGCCCTGTATGATTATTTTGTTCAATATTTAATGAGAGAATATTACCAGAATTTACTGGAGAAACCGCTTAAAGGTAATACAAAGTTTTGGTTATATTACAACAGGACTGGATTATAAAATCTATAATTTGCATTAAGATTGTGAAACCTAGTGTTAAAATAAGTAACTTTGACAAAATTGGGCTCTAAAATGCTAAGGATTTCAAGAAATTAAAATATTGAATTTATCTGTGCATCCGATAAATTTCAAACGGCGCCTATGGCCATACAATGGTAGCTGCGACCATGAAAATCTCGTAATATGCTGTTCTGATATAGAATTTCTAAACAGGGATAGAAAATTGGTCGATTTTAGTCAAGAAACATTGCTTGGAAGCTAAAATAATTTCAATCTTTAGAGGGAGCTTATACAACATAAAGTGTTTATGATTCATAATTTCATCACTTTAGATTCAATTTCAACCGCGACAATGATCATTGAATATTGTAGGATCGCATATGCTCCCAATACATTCATTTGAACCAAATCCATACCAGGGCTCGAATTACCCACCGGCAATCGGCAATTTGCCGCCATGCCCCTCTCACTGGCCGGAATGCCCTTTTCAAAATCAAACCGTTTACGGCCACAATATTTTAATCCACAAAAGTTTTGCCGACATTATAGTCATCGTAAGCCAACCCGACTTGTAATGTTCAAAAAGGTTTTGTTGCCCATACAGAGCTCTAAAAACAATGATAGTCGGTAAGGTTTTGTTGCCCCTCCGGAGCTCTAAAAACAATGATAGTCGGCAAGGTTTTGTTGCCCCTCCAGAGCTCTAAAAACAATAATTACCGGAAGGTTTTGTTGCCCCTCCGGAGCTCTAAAAACAATGATAGTCGGCAAGGTTTTGTTGCCCCTCCGGAGCTCTAAAACAATAATAGTCGGCAAGGTTTTGTTGCCCCTCCGGAGCTCTAAAAACAATAATAGTCGGCAAGGTTTTGTTGCCCCTACGGAGCTCTAAAAACAATAATAGTCGGCAACACTTTGTTGCCCCTACGGAGATCTAAAACAATAATTATTGGCGAGACTTAATTTCTACTATGGAACTCCTAAATTAATTGGCGGGACTTAATTGCCGATACGGAGATATGAAAGAATGTCTTCATCCAAATGACTGAAACGTTTGGCACAAAAACCGTAATGACTCAGGCTTAGTTTTTCAATCCATCCTTTTTATTTGAACCAATCAATATCAGGAAGTTTTGTTTACCCATCGTTGGTTCAACATCTTTACTTCGCGTTGTGACCTTTTTTGGTGCGTTTTCACAGTTTTTAATCAGTGAAAAACTTGGATTTTTCTCGGGAGGAGGGTCTGGAATTAAATCAGAAAAGGATTAAGAGTCGAGATAACGGTACAAAGAATCGTCTTCTTTCCCATACGTTTTAATTAAAACGTCAGAGCTTCCGCCCATCGCGCGGGAGGGGTGTGAATTGAGTTCAGAAAAGGATAATACCGGTAGTCGAGTTCGAGACGAATCGTCTTCTTTCCCTAATAATTTATTAAAAACATCTAAGCTTCTAAGCTTCCCTTGGAATTCAGAAAAGGATAAAGAGTCAAGAACGGTACAACAAATCATCTTCTTTCTCTAATAATTCAATGAAACGTCAAAGGGGGAAACTCCCCCCCCCCCCTTCAGCTCCCCCCCCCCCCCAATTTTTTTTTGAAAAGCATTTTAAAGAGAAATAGAAAGAAAGAGAGCAAGAAAGAAAAAATAGTTAACTACCAGTTTCTCAACAAAATAAGGTATCAAAAATTGCTCATCTGATCGTAATTAAACGCCTGAGCTTCCGTGGGCTCTGCCCTCGGGACCCAACCAAGGGCCCTTTGGCAGGCCTCTTGATACTCATCTGACTTCAATTTAGTGCCTAAAACCCTTGATCTTCTGGGGGCTCCGCCCGCTGGACCTCACGCCAATCAGTGTCCTGCCAGTGTCACAAATAAAGTATAAAAACATGTTCATCTGACCGTAATCAAATGCTTAAACCCCTGAGCTTCCGGGGGCTCTGCCCCCTGGACCCCACTGGATGCTAATCTGACGGTAACGTAATGCTTTAAACCCATGGGCTTCTGGGGGCTCCGCCCGCTGGACCTCACGCCAATCAGTATCCTGCCAGTGTCACAAATAAGGTATAAAAATATGTTCATCTGACCGTAATCAAATGCCTGAAACCCCTGAAATTCAGGGGTTTCCGCACCCTCGACTCCACCAGGGGCCCTGAGGCGGGCCCCTGAATGCTTATCTGACCGTAATTTGCCTTCAACCCATGAGTTTCCGGGGGCGAACAAGGTATCAAAAGATGTTCATCTGACCGCAGGCACGTAGCCGGGGGGGGGGGGGGCAGTGGGGGCGCCCCCCCCCCAAAAAAAAAGCCAAAAAAAGAGAGGAGAGAAAAGGAAGAGGACGTATGAAGAAAAAGGAGCAGACAAAAAACATTTTTGAAATTCAGACAAGGATTAAAAGTCGAGAACGATACAATGAATTGTCTTCTTTCTCTAATGATTTAATAAAACGTAAAAGCTTTCGCGCTTTGCGCGAGCGGATGGGGGGGGAACTGAATTCAGACGAGGATTAAGAGTCGAGAACGGGACAACGAATCGTCTTCTTTCTCTAATGATTTATTGAAACGTAAAAGCTTCTGAGCTTTGCGGGGGAAGGGGGGGGGGGATGAATTTAGACGAGGATTAAGAGTAAAAAACGGTACAACAAATCCTCTTCTTTCTCTAATGATTTAATGAAACGTAAAAGGTAAAAAACGTAAAAGGAGGGGAACTGTATTCAGACGAGCAGGCACGTACGCAGGGGGGGGGGGGTTTGGGGCGTTAACCCCCCCCCCCCTTCGGTTTTTTTTATGTCTGTATTTTGGAGCAAACCCCCCCCCCTTTTTTTTTAAAATGAAACACACGCACACAAAAAATTATGCCAATGGCTGATCTAAAAAAAGTGACCTCACCCCCCACCCACCCCTCCCCCCACCTCAAAGGGAACAAAATGTCAAATTTTCAAATTTCGAGACCAAAAAACAAAAAAGTGTCCTCTTACCCCCCCCCCCCCCCCCCCCCCCCCCCCCCCCCCCCCCCCGCTTATTCAGCGGCTGGCTGAGTCGTTGCGATTTTTTTTTTGGGACAAAAAAAAAAGTAGCCCCCCCCCCCCCAGGAAGAAATCCTGGATCCGCCCCTGGGTGCACATACCACCTTGAAAACAACGGCGTGAGGTGATTTCACGCGCACTTTCCACGTTGGCCATAGTGCCCCTTAGGATAGATTTGTGCCCCTTTCAGTGGATTTGTGCCCTCACAAAAAAGTGGCCTTGACCCAAATTTGATGTAATTCGAGGCCTGCCATACCAAAACTTTGTAATACCTTTAATCATGCGCATGTACGATTCTATACTGTTTCTGCTGTACTCTATGTACGTGCCAATGATACATTGTTTGCCGTGAAACCTGTGAGAAAGTGAATATTATAACAAAATAACGTCTTTGTTTTTAGGAAAAATACTCCAAAAGAGATAAGAAAATTGACACGAAAGGGGTAAGAAATATAACAACTTTATAATCATGACCATCAGTTGAACAATTGATGAAGATTTAGTTGACTCTTTGGTATGTTACTTTAAAAAGAGTATCTCCACGTCGGATAAAAAATGGATACGAAAGTAGAATAGGCCTAGAATCTAGGCCTACACAGTACACTAGAATTTTTCTCGTCTAGATCTAACGCCGGCTATAGGTAGGGAGGCCAATGCCCGGGCGTAAGGCTTCTACACCTACGATTTGTGCGCTCGTCGTCCACTTCAAAAAATTAGCAGAGAGAAAAAAATGATGTAACAATAAAAATTGATGAAAATAAGAAAAGAAAATACAATGATACATTTCACAACATACGTATAATCACGGATCTGTAACTGTCTTTCACCATTTGTTGACGATCTTGCAGATTTTGATGTATTTGTATCCAATAATTGTTGTAGCAGAAGAACATGGCGAGCACACACCACCGACTAAGAAAATCCTAGAGGGCGTACAGGTTTGCTCACTAAAAACCTTCTCATTGGCAGAAGGTAGACCCTAAAAATATGGGACCCGTTTTGAGTAAAGAACTTTTGATAGAGATCAACATTTCAGATGTTCACAATTGTCACTTCTAACCACTAGAAAATATAAAGAAAAAAGATTATATCTTTTTAAATACAGATTTTTACAAACTGAACATTCGAAGGTAGATAGAGTACAATGTTTATGTCAATCTTGCGTTGGTTTGAGCCCCATAGCTACAGCCACCTCAAAATGAGAAGAAAAACAGTGAACAGTGATCTCATTGTTCTAGCCAAATACGGAGGTCTTGCGACATCATAATATGAATATGTAGGAGCTCCGGTCATATCGCGCGCCAGACAAATCTCTCGTAGTCTCAAACACAGTACCTTATTCTCACAGCACTATAGACTCGAGTGTCGAGCTCGTGCAGTAAATCATGCATTAGAAATGTTTAAAAAAAAGATATTTCAGTAAAAAATGTCTACATGTACGTGAGCAGTCTATACTCCAATTGAGAAGTTCGGTTGAAAAGACATGATTGGATGATGTGTTGTCAAGTATAGCCGGTCGAAGAAGAAGAAGGAGAGAGAGAGAGAGAGAGAGAGAGATATCCAGGTAGCTAGGGTAGGGTACGTATGCGAGGTATAATGCATATCATTCTGGGGATTAAATAATGTGTTGTGCATTGTGCTGATTTTGGAGGTCGTTCTTGTTGGTTGTTCAGTAGATCTCCGACTGAAATCATAAGGAATACTCGTGAGGAAATAAAGTTATTGGAATACACATCTAAGGTAAATATCAATGAATTATATCTATTTCTTTCCTGCCAATTTTGATATCTCTTCTTCATTTTTGAACAATCGACTTCGGCTCGTAGTAGTAGAAGATGTAATCGTTCGCACATTGATGGCTGGATTTCAGCCTGCATCGGGGTTTGCCTGTGTCGGTGTGTACGTGTGCGACCGATTCAAGGCTAGCCGCTGTTGAGTGATTGTACTTTCGCGGGAAGTTTTAAACTTCATCATGAACTTTGTCCGGACAATGACACGCTAATGACATGACAATGACAATTATGAACGTAATTTTGCGACATGAAATATAATTGTTTCAAGGGCCAAGGCTCTTAGTCGTACGGATAGGCGTAGAAGGAAATGCCTTCAAAAGAGCTGGATATCTCCTATTTTATGGAACTTATGGAGTCGGCAGATGGGTGAGTTGTCTTAGTGAAATAAAATGCCTTCTTTTAATCTTTGTTTTATTATAAACAAATTAGTAATTAAAAAGTTAGATTTGGGCATTGGCCTCCCTACTAATACTAGATCTATAGGGCATGGGTCCATTACAGGCTTAAAAAATAGACAAGTCTTTCCACATGCATGCAATTGCGCTTCTCTCATCACAAAATTAGCATAAATTTGTCTTGAGAGGACTTTTTCCGACAAAACCATACAGATACGGAATCCAAAATCAAAGAAGAGCAGTCTCGGTAAGCTGCAGCTGGTAACGGTTACTAACGACGCCATTCGCAACACTGGCATTGCAGTACCGCGTACCGAGGCGAGTGAAACTATGAATGCAGAACACGCCTAAACTCTGGGCAAGCAACACATCGACTGCTGGCTCGCAGTCTGCAGCAGCCTCCAAAGGCCATATTTGATACAAACTTGTAGTTTTACAGGTTGTACTCACTCTTTACAAATCAAATTCCAAAATTATTGATTAATACATATTTCTAGGAGAAACATACCTCATGATACTTGATTTGTCAACGTTAGACAGTTCATTTTTCCCATTTTCCACGCTCATTTTGATGAGAGATGAGAGCAACCAGAAAAATGTATGATGATTAATCGTATTTAGTCGATAGAGGGCGACTCTGTAGATGAACGTTCGAACTCATTCTACCAAGCAGAAGCTAGCAGCCCCCCCTTTTTTTTCATAGGTTTTTATTCATTTCTCTCATTAAGAAAAATTGTACATTATTTATAACATTGTATACAAAATAACAAAATAATTTTAACATAGGTCTTAATAAATTTGCCAATGAACTTTTACATTTACAGATGAAAAATATTCACATAAACAAAATTATATTTTCACCGAAAAAAAAAAAACTATTTTCTCGACCAGTTTGATTATAAATCTCAAATTATTTCTTTTCCACGATATTCTGTTAACCTATATTCCTCTTCAATTTCCTTTAGAGACAAAACAAATTATATAATATAAAAAGAGAAAGAGCTAGAAAACACCTACTACCCCCCCCCCCCCCGGCCCCCCGCCCCACACAACATTTAAACACATAACAAGTACAACAGTATACAGAACACACACCAACATAGAACGAACAAACAAACAAAAGTAAAAGAAAAATAAAAGAAGAGAAAAAAGAAGAAAAAAAAATAGAGAAGAGAGGAGGGTCAGGAAGTTGTATATTGAGAAAATTAAAAACTGAAAACATTTATTCTAAACTTTCCAAAGCTTCCCATTTCCTTAAATGAATTGAAAGTGTGTCTCTTTCCAATGAAAGTTTTTTCTCTTCATTTCTATTTTCCAACAATCTATATTCTATTTCTTTTGCTTTGGGAGGGTTTCCCTTCTCTCTACTGTGGAAAATCATATATTTAATCAAAATCAAAATATGGTTCAATAATTGCTCTGTTTTAAAAGTAGTGTCATCTATTCCTTTATGAATTTCTTTCCAGGATAATTTCTTCAGAATTGGTAAATTAAGTCTATCTCAACATTTCCCCCAGACTTCCTTTATTGTATTACATTCAAAGAATACATGTTGATAAGTTTCTTCAAAATTTTTGCAAAATGAGCACAAACCATTTTCATGGAACCTGAATCTATGTAAATGATGATTTGTATTTAAAATATTATGCAATAGTTTGAACTGATATTCTCGCAGTTTACTACTTAAGGTACACATCCTTGGTTGAACATATACCTTTTCTACTTCTTTTCTTGGAATATTGTAAAGTGTCATTAAATTGCCGCCTGCCGAGTTTGTTTCTACATTCTTTTTAATTTGACTCTTATATACCATTTTTGCAGTTAAATCTTCAAATGTAAACACTTTCTTTGAAAAAATAAATTCTAAACTAAAGCCAGTGTGAATTGACTTTCTTAAAGGTTGAACATTCTGTTTCCATTCATGAGGGGCTACTTTATAAATTTTGTTTACTTTATCATTTCCACTCTGCTCAAACCTATACATTATTATGGTTCTTAGGATGCATTTAGCGGATATGATTTCTTGACGGTACAATTTGGCCTTTTGCCCTCCTTTCCAATTTTCTTTTGTTTCGTTTTTTATATCTTTACTGTGGATGCATGAATATAGCTTCTTAAGGTGCCAGTGGTGGATCAAGGGGGATGAATCGACCGCCCCCCTTTAGTTGCCAACAAAAAATAGGGAAAAGGGGAAAACTGAGAGCGACGGGAGAAAAAAGGAGAAAAGCCTGAGAGAAAAAAGGTTTGAAAAAAAAGAGGAGAGAGAGAGAGAGAGAGAGAGAGAGGGAAGGAGATAAAGGGAGGGGGAAGAAAAAAAAATATAATAATAAGGGGACTGACCTTTAAGGCCCCTTTAAAGTGTCGGGAGCCCCAAATTCGTCAATAATTTGATTGCAACATTTCACTTAAAATTGTGTCATAATGTGACACACTTCTGCAAAGAATCCCCCCCCCAAAAAAAAACACACCAACACCAACAACAACAACAACAACAACACAACAATAACAGTGGCGGATTCAGGGGGCATAGGGGGCACGTGCCCCCCCCCTCCCCGGTTAAAAAAAAGGGTGAAAGGGGGAAGGTGCAAAAAGAAAAGGGAGAAAAGGAGAAAAGGAGGGGGAAGAGAGAAGGGCAAAGTTAAGTCGAACATGACTAATGCCAAAGATTTTATCTCCTTTATAACTTCTTACTTCTAACTTCTAACTTAGTCTTGAATGTCTTTTCCGATATACCTATTTTAAGTGCTCTTTCAGCAGATTGTCCCCGCCGTTAATCCTGCCACAGTTGCTGGTTTCATTGTCATATATTTTTGTCATCCCTGTGGCCGCAAAGAGTCACAATTCTGCCTACCACAAAGTTTCTATCCGTTTCGCAAGCTCTTTTTTTCCATTGCATAGGCCTACATGTAATGCTTATTGCTTCCAGTTTGAAATTCCACCATTTCCCCTTCTAGAAGTGATTGATTGTGGAAATTTTATATGTTTCTGTATTAAGTTTTTAATGTATTTTTGAAGTATTTTGATGCATTTAATTAACCATACATGTGGGTTCAGAAATGTCAGCTGCAGTAAGCTAGTGGTGAAAGAAGTTGAGTTCTCTAAAAAAAATTACTGACATGGAGGACAACAGTTATTTTTTTAAATTTCAAGTACACTAGTACCACTTCCGGTAGTTGTATTCAAAGTTTATTGTAGTTTTCTTCTGCTGGAACACAAATCCTTTATACATGCAAAATATTGATATCTATCCTTCTTTATCTTTGTAGTGAAAATGATATAAAGAAATTATGTTTGGATTTCAAATTTCATGAATTTTTCATAAACAGAGCATCTTTTCTTGTGATTTGTTCACACAGTTGTGGACAGGCGCGTACGCATGGGGGGGGGGGGGAGGTTCGGGGTTCGGGATTACCCCCCCCCCCCTTGAACTTTTTTTATGTGTATGCTTTGGAAACCCCCCCCCCTTTTTTTTTTTAGTAAAACAAAAAAAAAGTGGTAATGGGTGACCCCAAAAAGCCGACCCTTCCCCCCCCCCCCCCCTCCCAGGCCGATCGGCCAAATTTTCATGTTTTGGGACACCAAAACATGAAAATTTGGCCGATCGGGTCGCTATTCATAATACGGGAAGAGAGGTCCCTATTCATAACAGGAGAAGAGGGTCGCTATTCAAAACACAGAATGAGGGCCCCATATTCATAATATGAAATTAGGGTCGCTATACATAAGGGTCCCTATTCAGAATAATAGAAAAGGGTCGCTATTCATAATACGAGAAGAGGGTCGCCATTCGTGATACGAGAAGAGGGTCGCTATTCATAATAGGGGAAGAGGGGTGCTATTCAAAACACAGAATGAGGGCCCCATATTCATAATATGAAATTAGGGTCGCTATATATAAGGGTCCCTATTCAGAATAATAGAAAAGGGTCGCTATTCATAATACGGGAAGAGAGGTCCCTATTCATAACAGGAGAAGAGGGTCGCTATTCAAAACACAGAATGAGGGCCCCATATTCATAATATGAAATTAGGGTCGCTATACATAAGGGTCCCTATTCAGAATAATAGAAAAGGGTCGCTATTCATAATACGAGAAGAGGGTCGCCATTCGTGATACGAGAAGAGGGTCGCTATTCATAATAGGGGAAGAGGGGTGCTATTCAAAACACAGAATGAGGGCCCCATATTCATAATATGAAATTAGGGTCGCTATATATAAGGGTCCCTATTCAGAATAATAGAAAAGGGTCGCTATTCATAATACGAGAAGAGGGGTCCCTATTCATAACAGGAGTAGAGTGGCGCTATTCAAAACACAGAATGAGGGCCCCATATTCATAATATGAAATTAGGGTCGCTATACATAAGGGTCCCTATTCAGAATAATAGAAAAGGGTCGCTATTCATAATACGAGAAGAGGGTCGCCATTCGTGATACGAGAAGAGGGTCGCTATTCATAATAGGGGAAGAGGGGTGCTATTCAAAACACAGAATGAGGGCCCCATATTCATAATATGAAATTAGGGTCGCTATATATAAGGGTCCCTATTCAGAATAATAGAAAAGGGTCGCTATTCATAATACGAGAAGAGGGGTCCCTATTCATAACAGGAGTAGAGTGGCGCTATTCAAAACACAGAATGAGGGCCCCATATTCATAATATGAAATTAGGGTCGCTATACATAAGGGTCCCTATTCAGAATAATAGAAAAGGGTCGCTATTCATAATACGAGAAGAGGGTCGCCATTCGTGATACGAGAAGAGGGTCGCTATTCATAATAGGGGAAGAGGGGTGCTATTCAAAACACAGAATGAGGGCCCCATATTCATAATATGAAATTAGGGTCGCTATATATAAGGGTCCCTATTCAGAATAATAGAAAAGGGTCGCTATTCTTAATACTAGAAGAGGGGTCCCTATTCATAATACTAAAAAAGGGTCCCTATTCATAATACTAGAAAAGGGTCGCTATTCATAATACGAGAAGAGGGTCGCCATTCATAATATGAGAAGAGGGTCGCTATTCATAACAGGAGTAGAGGGGCGCTATTCAAAACACAGAATGAGGGCCCCATATTCATAATATGAAATTAGGGTCGCTATACATAAGGGTCCCTATTCATAATAATAGAAAAGGGTCGCTATTCATAATACGAGAAGAGGGGTCCCTATTCATAATACTAAAAAAGGGTCCCTATTCATAATACTAGAAAAGGGTCGCTATTCATGATACGCGAAGAGGGTCGCTATTCATAATACGAGAAGAGGGTCGCCATTCGTGATACGAGAAGAGCGTCGCTATTCATAACAGAAGAAGAGGGTCGCTATTCAAAACACAGAATGAGGGCCCCATATTCATAATATGAAATTAGGGTCGCTATACATAAGGGTCCCTATTCAGAATAATAGAAAAGGGTCGCTATTCATAATACGAGAAGTGGGTCGCCATTCATAATATGAGAAGAGGGTCGCTATTCATAACAGGAGTAGAGTGGCGCTATTCAAAACACAGAATGAGGGCCCCATATTCATAATATGAAATTAGGGTCGCTATACATAAGGGTCCCTATTCAGAATAATAGAAAAGGGTCGCTATTCATAATACTAGAAGTGGGTCGCCATTCATAATATGAGAAGAGGGTCGCTATTCATAACAGGAGAAGAGGGGCGCTATTCAAAACAAAGAATGAGGGCCCCATATTCATAATATGAAATTAGGGTCGCTATACATAAGGGTCCCTATTCATAATAGGGTCGCTATTCATAATACTAGAAGTGGGTCGCCATTCATTATATGAGAAGAGGGGCGCTATTTATAACAGGAGGAGAGGGTCGCCATTCATAAGTGTCTTTATTCTTAAGGGTCATTATTAACAAACGAAGAAGTGGGTCACTATTTATAATACGAAATGAGGGTCGCTATTCATAATTATGAGAAGATGATCGCTATTCATAATACAAAATCAGGGTTGATATTCGTAACGGTCCCTATTCATAATACTATCAAAGGGTCGCTACTCATAATACGGGAAGAGGGTCGGTAGTCATAATACGAGTAGAGAGTCGCTATTCATAATACGAGAAGAGAGTCGCTATTCATAAAAGGAGGAAAGGGTCGCTATTCATATAAGGAGAAGAGGGTCGCTAGTAGCTTTTTTTAGGACTTATGGACCTACATTATTTAGCCTTAGCCATTTTCAGGCACCCAGAGGCTCTTCAATTTCACCTAATGAAGAGTTTCAAGATTTTCGTTATTTCATGAATTATCATACCCCTGGATTTTAGTAATCATATTAGTAACTTGATTTTCCACAATCTTGATTTTATGAAACTTTCCTTACACCGAAAACAAACGGAGTTGGACCAGACCATGAGCATAGTTACTGCCCCCCCCCCCCGGAGAGGGGTGGGGAGGGGGGAACTTTAAAATGTTGTTTTGTTTTGGGGGATATGGGCTTTAACGCTCTCGGACCCTTGAGGGTTTTCGCGTCACGCAGCGTACAAGAGGTAATGCAATCCCAATATGATTTACTGTTTGAGTTATATAATATTATAAATAACCGATAGTATTTATATTTCTTACGCTTAAATATTTATGTATACAACTAAACAATATGTCTTTCTCTGTATTAACATCACGGGGATTATTAAAAAACTATTAGTGGCAAAATTCAAATTTGAAAAGATCAATGACTGTAATGTTGCTAATAGTGAATATTTTGGATCCATACTGTAAGGAAAGTCTTCAATTATGATTTTTTACAATATTTTACAAGTTTTTAGATTTTTACCGTGCAAACTACTGCAGCGCCCTTTATGTGCCTCTTTATGAATTATTTCATTCGCTTGTTGTTCTAATAATTTATTTCAATAGTCAGAATGCAAATTGGATACATTACTTGTTGTCAGGTAGGGCCAGCTATAATGTTTGTTCAACCTAGCAAAAACTAATGTATGCAATTTGCATTCTATTGAGATGCAAAAAAAAAATCATGTATAGTAGCTGACTGTAATAGCTTGTCGCGAGGTCAATGTATATAAAGTTGAATCATTTTGAAATGGCTTATTGGAAGAAAACGTATTTAATAATGAGTTCTCTGCAGAAACGAGTAGGTACACCATCAAACTGATGTGATACTTTCTATTTACAATTGACTCAAACAATATATTCCCAGATGTGCCTTAATTAGCCAAATTTGGAAATAATTTCTTTAAATTAAAAAAAATATATTATTCGTATCAAGTACGAAGAATTCTGGGAAATAAACAACCTGTAATATTAGTCAGAAACTGTTTGATTATGATTTTGGCCGTTGGAATAAGTCGTATGAAAAAAACTCAAAATAAGTTGAACAAATGCAACCCTTTCTTTTCAAATTCCTCCATGTTTGCTGTTTTGTTTTCACTAATTTGTCTAAAACTTTTATCGTCCTCATTTTTTTGATTAATTTTGTTTTCCCCACTTTTCAAACATCTATATTTTGTCTGAATAGACACATCAGGGAAAACCTGTTTGCTTTCTTATTAATACATGTATTGTTTCTCAAATCTGAATGCATCGCCAATATGTGGGCTTTTCTAGAAGGAAAATCCATATTACAAACAAACAAACAAAAGTACGCCAAACACTTTTGTTCCAAATTCATTTATTTCTCCTGACCTTTTACATAAGTTCACAATGAATTCTTGACGCGTGTCACACACGACATAACACAATAATAAAAACCGATACACAAAAAATCAATATAAAATTTCATGCAATTGCACTCGAGAGTACCTTTTATAATCCCAGCAAAACAAAGTATTTCTATTATGTCAATCTGTTAGAACCAATGTTAATAATGATTTGGGGTTCATGCAGTGCATTCGTTCCATATGACTCTGCAAGTATGGATTTTAACCAGCTTTTATTTTGTTCAGCCTCATGACCATATCTTGATTACTTCGAAGGCATATTACCCGAGAAGATACTTGAAACAAAAGATAATGAGCTCATTTTTGTTATATAATAACAAATGCCGGCGATATAACAAAACAAAGATTGCAAAGTTTACAGAATTAGTGTAAGGCAGTTATATGTTTTAAAAACAACACGGCTAGATATTAGGGTCATCAAAATGCAAACAGCTGGGACAATCTATAAGATTCTGTGAAAGGGATATTTGTTTTTAGTAAAGTAATATACTGAATTGTTGGACATTTTTTGAAAATATCATCCGAGACTCTTAAATGAGATGGTCTAAAATAGACCTTGAGATTTATAACAGTTTCGGTGAGGTTTAAATAAATTACCCATTTCCCATTTTCAAGATCTGGGCGTCGGTGGAAACTCGTTTGTAGTCTTTGAATATGTTTCTTCATTCTGGGGGTTTACAAGCGGATGAATTTCATAATTTACGAATTGTGCTAATGACGTAAGGCAAGTGTTCGTAGAAGTATCATGATTGATACAAGTGAAGAACATCTGGTAAACAGAGGTTTTAAATGTCATAAATTGTTAATATATGCTTTATCCTGTTTACTCAGCTTTGAGACACATTTATTCCAAGGCATATTATGGGGCTATTAACAAAATACAACATCAAACAAACAATTTGCTCACAATAATCGACCCTATCAATAACATTCATTTGATTAAGATGAACTGATGTGAGAAGTAAAAGGTGAAAAGTCATGACTCGTGATAAACAGTGGCAGAATCGTTTGATATTGTGTTCTCAGTATAACAATAAAAGTTGCCCCCAGTTTAATATAGAACAAGAAAAAATACAGAAACAGCAGTAGCAAAGTACCTTCTATCGTTTTAAAGATATAAAAATGGCATCTTTGATAGTTGCAGGCACAGTAGCTTGTAGTAAAAACATCAACATAATGGAAAATTATACTCAAGTACCATGCAATCGAACAAATTTTGAGTCGATAGGAAGTTCAGCTGCCAATTACCCTGTTATTAATGACTTTTATGAAGTAGAAAGGAAAAATAGACACTTTTTGCCCAATTGTAATCACTATTTTTTTAGAACACAAACCCAAGTCAATACTAGAATGATATCTTCTTCTTATCAGTGAATATTATGATAAGACGGAAATGGCAGTATCAGGGACGGATTCGTTAAGTAACGTAGATGATATTAGGGAGCTATATAGGGAATGGGTGCATGATCAAATGTTATTAATCAATTTCAACCAAAAGGTGTTTCTTAAAAGCAGGGTATTTTACTGACATCGCTTCCATTGCTTTAATGTATTTCCAATTCTGCCATCTTTCGGTGAAGGCGTATATAGAGAGATTTACGGTTCTTGTACCCAAGCATCATCAGGCGCGCGACATGCAGTGAATGGTGTATTGTGGGACATGGCTGTCGACACACCGGGACATCGTGAGCAGCAGATGGCAGTATAAGTAAATCTGAAGTAGTGTCAGTAGAATACCCTGCCTTTAATGTAAAGAGAATAGATAGTTTGTCAAAAATTGAAAGCAATTGTTCAAGTTTGATTACATTAATTGCATTAGGGTCCACCAACACATGCCATGAGACTTTGAAAAATACTATCTATATCACCCAGCACTGAGTTCCTTTCTTCCTCTGGCATGGTGGTTTGGATTTGTTCATGGCACTGGTCATGTGGCTCTTCACGTTGAATATCGTCATGTTCTGTATACCTTCCACCATTGTTTAAAAGCATTTCATTAGTGGGATAGACCTCCCATGCTACATCTTCAGAGAAACGTCTCTTAGGTTGATGACTTTGATATAGACAAGGTGGTTCGGACGCTCTGTCGGGACCACCTAACCATGGTCTGCGATAGCTCCGACGCTTCTTGGGCAATACCGTTCTACAGTAGTCTTCCTGCCGAATTTCTTGTCGGAGTTTAGTCACCATGTTTGCTATCAAGACTGACCTACGTAACGAGACCTCGGGATCGTCTATACATCGCATCTTATGAAGCGACATGTCCAAAACACGCCGCCTATCACAAGCTCTGATAGCTTCTACATCATCCTCAGACATTCCTACCAGATCAGAAGTCCTACATGAAGGTAGTATATCCGGTATCACATTGTCCATGATATCAGGTGAGGTGGACGTCATCGATCTCGATTTGAAATCGTCACCTTCATAGCACATGGGTAATTCAATCTCACCGCTCACATCGGGAAAGAAATCATCTGGATCACAACGGCAACATTCCTGGATAGGTCCACAGCCGTTACAACATCTTAACACGGCTTCTCCGTGATTCATTTGCAACGTCTCTGACACCATTGTCATTTCCTGAGGGGTTCTACACCCACAATCCTCTGTATCATCTAGCATATCACATAATTTTCGTTTCTTGGCGCCAAGGCAACTGGTCGCTGTCTGCTCATCGCGACCATACTCCACCTCAACGTCCTCATCAAGCAGACTTCGCCCTCCCATCGTCATTGGTTTCCGAGCACCAAAGTGAGCAGCTGAACACGGCTCTGTTGGAGTGTGATGATGATGAGCCGTGGGTGAAAGCCTCGGCGTACAGCTTACCAAGCTAACCGGGCGAACGCAGTTTCCTGCATTAAGAGAGAGAGAGAGAATTTTTGAGAAAAAAAATTGACTTTAGGAGCATGGCTAAATAATGTACAAAATGGCAATTTGGTATGTATATGGCAACAACTAAATAACAATGGGATAATCAACCAGCAGATAGCTATTAAAGAGAGATTGACCTTCCACCATGAAACCATTGATAAAACACTCTCCTTTCTTTTTTTCTTGTAAGTCTTCTTCATCATCATTATCATAATCATTATCATCAACTTCAACCAGCCCAACCAGTAGCAATGTAGTCGATATGTCAGTCAATTTCCATCGCATCATTTTAACATTTCGGAGCAAGTTATTGTTTGATAAAGCACGGTCTACTGCCTCATGTCAGGATAAATTTCAGAATGTTGATAGAGCATAGGAATGTAGTCGATAGGCCATTTTGTAGTGATTTCATCATCGATTTGACAAAAGCATTGTCCTCTCTCTTACCCAAGAAGGCAACAATGAAGACTTTTGTTTAAAGACTATGATATGCTTTGGAAAAAATATTGAAACGTCCTACAATGCTCAATAGCAGGTCGTCATTTATCAGGTACGGTGAAGATGTTCCGTGAGCGATAGCGTTTTCTAGTGATGTACAGTATAGATTGGACAAATACATTCACTTTACACTTGATTTTACAAGAAATTGCAATAAACCATGATCCAACTTGTCATTATTAACACGAAGTCATTATCTACTCACCAGAAATACTTTATGACTGTCATTACGAACATGAAACTGTTTGATATCCATCACATGTAATAATAATAATAACGAGCATTTGATAACATATCTCCGTCGGGATGCACTTATGCTCCTGTGATATCTTGTCTTTTGCTCGTCAAAGATTAAATTATTTAATCTCTCAAAACATCGTCCTGAACACCTGAATGCCTCTACTTTGATTAACCGACCACCATGAAAGCCATATCGATACTGAGAGAAATCATTTCCACCATCTCCTACTAATTAGGGCGAAAGCCTGAACTTAAGTATAGCTTACATGCTATGCACAAAACTCAACAATTATGCATTTGCGCAAGACTTGGAAACGGGACTTACACATACACAAAATACACACTTTTGCTTCACACACTCACACGTACACTGCGTACGTCAGATAACGCATAAGTGGCGCCTGAAAAGCAGGGTCTCTTATCCAATCAGCATGATTTGAGTACGAGTGAAATGAACGGTCACAGAAGATGGGTTTTTCATGCATTAACTCATGCTTTTATTCTCTCTCTCTCTCTCTCTCCCTCTCTCTGTGTCTATTTCTCTATTTTCATTTTCCTTTCTCCTTACCTGGGCTGGTTGCGTGCGTCGTAGATTGGTGGTTGTATCGGAGTGAGAGGCTGGAGACGTCATCACAGCTACCGTCAGATGCTACGAAAGATTCGTCATGGTAACAGCAGAAGGGTTGATGATCGGGGCAAGGCAGATGGGATGCGGATTTCCATGGAAACGTAGAATAACGCTCGACGGGCACGGCAACGGTCATTGCTGGCGGACAGAAGTTGAAGTGAACGAACCCTTATCATCAAGGCCAGAGGAGCTCTTCGATTCAACCGACACACATCTGAAATAAATCAAGAGAACAAATCTTGAAAATCACTACTCATCTTAGTGTCCCTACAGGAAAATTTCAAATTATGTCATGCTTAGAATTCAGTTTAAAAGAAAAGGAAAAGGGGACTGAGCATGCGTTGTTAACCTAAGGGTTGCTTTGACATATATAATTCCCTGGGGTACAAGTAGTTGTTACGTAAATTGTGTATGTCGGTTTAATCCTAACGTATGGAGAAAATCATAGTCAGGTCACTGTGGAATAGAATGCACATTTGAATGTACGTAGAACTTAATTCTGGCTGGAAAGAGGACTGAGATGTGAAGTCGTCTTATTTTTAGAGACCTTGTATTTCGTTAAACTGACGCACTTGCGTATTGATGGGGGGGGGGGGGCAGTTGAGCCCAAAAATAAATGTCAAACGTGGTTTATTTTTAATTCGATACCACTGATTTACAAATGTTGCTGAAATGACATAATTTTCCATTTTTTCTGTCAAGTTTTGCCAATTATGCCAGAGGCAGTACTTCCAGCTGGGGGTGGGGGGGGGGGGCACTGTGCCACCCACTTTTTAAGTTCCCCACAAAAAGATCCTTTTTACATAGGACAAGTGCCCCTTTTCTTTTCTAGAAACTGTCCTTTTTCCTCTCTTTTCTTCTTTGGTGAGTACGTCTTTTCAGGTGCGAGAAATTCCTCTTTTCACGTCTAATATTTTCGTCCTTTTTACTTTGACTCGTGCCCCTTTTTCTTTTTGATAAATGTACTTTTCCCTTCTCAGTAAGAACCCCTTTTACTTTTTCTTAAATGCCACTTTTCACCTCTGATAATTCACATCTGATAAGTGCCCCTTTTATTTTGACACGTGCCCCTTTTCCTTTCTAATAAGTAGCATATTTCCTTCGGATAAGTGCCCCTTCTTCATTTTTATATGAGCCCCTCCCCCTTTTGAAATGCCCCTTTTAACAGCTGATAAATGCCCTTATCAAAATCTGATAGGTGCCCTTCTCCTCCAACAGATTCCGCATTTCCATTCTCACAAGTGCCTCTTTTTATTTCTGTTGAGTGTCCATTTTCAGGTGCAAGAAGTAATATTTTCACCTCTGAAGGCTCTGATAATTGCCCTTTTTACTTCGACACGAGCACCTTTTCTTTTCTAATAACTATCCTTTCCCCTTTTGATAATTGCCTACTAATTCAAGGTGACTTAGTTCCCCTTTTCTTTAAATTTTCCTAGAGCTCGCTCGCATTTATAGATGTTAAAATTATGTTACTTATAAAAGAACTTTCCAGTCTCCCTTCATTAAATTGTGCTCAATACTCATCAGGATTTGTTTTTGGTCTTCTTTATAAGATGTATTTTTTTTGCAATGGGACCTCACAAAATACTTGCTCGCTCTCTTCGCTCGCTCGAAAATTAATATTCAAACCGTCACACCTAACTGCAAAGTATGTTGCTTAATTAAGCAGTATCTTGTACCACGTAAATAAATAAATAAATATTGATATCATCACTGGTAGTTTAATTACAATCATGACGATGTAGGGGTACATATTAATGTCTAAAAATGGGGTAGGTTTGGTTGATGTTTCCCTTTGTAGGTGCTCCTTTTTTCCAGAAAGTGCCCTTTTTTGGTTGGTGCCCCCCTCCCTATTTTAGAAGACGCTCCGCTGCCCCTGCATTATGCTACTTGGTGGTGATAAGGATTTTGTTCTGACCCCCAAAACGTTTTTGCTCATTACTCCACTGCTGACGATTGTCCCTACTTTCAAGAACAGGTAACAATATTTCTCGATTGAAGCGTGGGAAAACACTTATATCATAAAGTAATGAATTGCAATTTCTAAAATGTAATAAATTGATGAGGTAGTCAAACTAGGAAAATACCAATGATATTTACGTCTAAACTGAATTATACAAATTTAAGTATTTAATTAATCAGTTCTGTTGATGGCTCTGTAAGTGAGCATAAACATTTGCAACTGATTCATTTCATTACAAATCATTCGTATCGCTACATACCAAGTTGCACATGACGTAAAGATTTCAAAAGCTATGAATATCCAAGAAAATTTTGGAACTAAAAAAAAAACACTAAACACTGTTAACATTAACATGTTCTTGACCAACCAATATGCGAGCAAAACAGGAAGTTCAACACACAAACATTTTTTCTTCTTCTCATCATTAATTTTTGTCTGTTTTTTTTTCTTCTTTTATTTTAATTATATCGAACAGAATTATGTCACTTTTTTTTCTTTCCAGTCTGTCTCGCAATTCATGAGCTGGCTTAGAAAAGTATATTGAAATGCTAGTGTTAAAGGTAATACAAAGTTTTGGGAAATTTTGAAAATTGGGTGGATAGTGATTCTTTACAATTTCGATATATTTGGATGCCCCTGTGGATGTATTATAAGCACTAGAAAATTTAGCTCCTGAAACACTTCTGCTTTCGAGAAAAAATTGAATATGCTGACATCCAACAAAAATCGAAACATGAGGTGATTATTTTATAATGATGCGTCTTGAATGGCTTTTCATGGTTAAACTGTGATTAGCACCCGATTTTACGAAGTATTTTATAAGACTCTTCATCCTAACGAGGCGCTCATCTGAAATGATGAGCCTTGCTTCTCTATCCACTCAAAAGCTGCTACTAATAATATATAACGTTTATAACTAATTCTAAAACATCCATTGAAATGATGTTTCGTTCATTCGTTCTTCACCAAACAAATACTATGACACGAGCAAAACTGCTAGAATCTGTGGTCTCATTCAGATAAGATTTACAAACATCTTATCCTCAAGCTGATATTGCCCTCTGCGTTTTTCAAAACTCATAAATTAGAAGTCATGAAATAAACAACTTTTCAAATTGGATACAAATCTAACTGTTGCCTATTAGGTCTAGACCTCAGGGGCTGATCTAGGGGGGTTCGGTAGTTTAACTCCTGCCCCCCCCCCCTTGGGCGGCCAAGTGAAATAAACGGAGAAAGTGGGGGGGGGGGGAGAAAAAAAGAAGGGGAAAAAAGAAGAAGAAAAAAGTAAAACAGTAAAACAGCGCGATTTTTGGAAAATCCTGGATCCGCCACTAGGTCAGCCGCCCCCCCCCCCCCTTGGCAAAAAGCTAGATCTGCCCCACTTCTTATCTCGATGTTATTTTTTCATGTCGTCAATTCCTGTTGTATAGTCTCCCTTAAACATGTTAAATAACAGATCTTGTATTCATTTGGGTTGTATTGGAAATCTGCATTCTTTAGCTCTTATAAACATCAATTATCGTTAGGATCGCTGCTTAGCGGCTTACAGATCTTCTACAATGATGTAAAATATAAGATTATACGAGGGAGCTTAACTATCAATCAGGGAGATTTCACATTTCTTAAAGTGAAACTTTGTATTCTAGTGTCTGAATAATATAAAATCCGAAGAGGCATACTTTCGTCCCCGAGGATCATCTCCTGGGCCGACAGTAACTAAAAATAAAGCTCAAAGAAATTATGTTTAGAAAGACAAAGGATGATATAAACGTATCTTCCTAAGGCTTCGCCCACGCCCTCCTGATACAGAAGCCCGTCGCACGTCTATGTGCTATTTTCATCCCCATGTTTTCCCTCTCAAAACTCTGCACACTCGTACATGCCACCTTCAGTATTTTTGGAGCGCTATTTGAAGTCATGCCCTAGTTTATTCACCCCTATCTTGACTCGACACCCAGTCACCTCAGACAGACTCATCTATCCCGTCCGTACGTCCCAGTGTTTACGTGACAAGATATGCCTTGGTGAAATGTGTTGAGCGAGCCATTAGTGGAGCTGAGTGGGATCTGTCAGGTAGACGATGCTTGAGATACCTATCGACACGACTTAGAAGATAGATGTAAATGAGTGTAAATGGATGCCGAGGAGGAGGCACACTGTACAGGAGGATAGAATAACCAGAGTATATAGACATTCCCCAACACTGACGTGAGGCGCTAATTTGGCAAAATTCACAGCACTATGTAGAAAACACAGAGTAACACAATTTCAAATGGCATGAATCGCTTATTAATTAATATTAATGACAATAATACCATGTGAATTTATAATTGCTGGAGGACAGACAAATATTTGATGAAATTTTTTTGAAAATTTTGCTTTGGTGAAACACGGCAGTTTTGCCAAATAAAATGCGGGCTGTGCGCCTAATTCAAATCCCATGTTTCATGCAGAGTGTATAACATCTTGAAGGCCGGGGCACACCTTACGACTTGCCTGCGGTTAAATTTTAACGAAATAAGGAAATGAAGAGTTATATTTAAGTATATTTAAAACGTAAATGTTTCATAACCGAGGTGCCAAATTATCGGAGAAAAGGACCACTGACAATAGCTGGGCTACGGAATCGTGACGTCATATAAGTTGCACGCCTGTCCGCTGACTGTTTGGCCTTTACGACAACTGGAAGGCTTTCAAACATCTTAATGCCCCACTGTCCTACTTGTAGCTACTTGCTCCCTCTATATAGAAAGCTTCCCCAATCGGTGCCTGTTGATCCCCCATGATCCTCTTTTTCTTATGTTAGTTGAGAGTTGAGTTAATGAGATAGCCACCTGTCAGTGACCTCGCTGTAAGGTCTAATCCCTTCTGGCCCAGTAGTACTGACGGTCTTTAAAACACCAAGCAATATCAATACATGGATGTGCCGGGGTATAGTGGTTCATTCACTTGACTCTCAATCCAAGGGTTGAGGTTTCGAATCCCAGCCCGGCACTAATGTCCTTCGACACTATAAACGTCCTTCTCCAACAAGATGTATAATTGGGTAACTGACAATTGCTGGGGGTAATACTAATAGCAGCTAGGGCCCGCACGAAAAGCAGTATTAATTCTGCATGCTTCATTGTAAATGACAAGTTTGAAAGGTTTGATTGATTGATAGGTAATACAAAATTATACTTGGTAAAAGTATTAACTCTCATAATTCACGAGGGTATGTTTTAATATTTATAAACCTAAGTCGGGATCAA